GGGGGTGGGGGTGGGAGGAGGACCAGGGAGGATGATTCAACCACTCAACCACTAGATGTCGCTGAAAACAACAAATCCTACACACTGTGCCTTTAAGGGAATTAAATCAATTTTGTGTTTGCTCAAGATTAAGCTTGTCAATATCTGTAGCATGAGAGCCTTGTGAACAGGCTACAGGAGCGTCTTCAGTTTTCTGACACCTTCTTTCAGCTGGCGACGCCTCAGGATACCCTCTGTGCCGAAACTTGGGTTGCCTTTTTTTAAAGGACAGCTATTGTGCAAAACTCACTTTTTTCATGTTTTTAAACTTACTTTTGGGTCTCTACTGCTTAGAGAAGCAGCCCAAACACCAAAAAAAATAAAAAATAAATAAAATGCACCCAGCCATTTTTTAGCTGTAACTACATGTATTTTTAGGTATCTGGAAACATGGTCTTTCTCAAAGCGCTTTATTCTGACGTCACAATAACAGTCACCTAGCAAGCTAAACCAGAGTCCTGCTCCTCAATGTGAAGCTCCGCCCACTTCCTCTTACAGTACGTTCTGGAGAGAGCTGAAGAACAGGAAGAACTGAAAAGGTGAAATTTCATTATTTGAGATTCTTTTTGTGAATTAAATCAAACGAACATGTTTTGTATAGTCCACAGATGGATCCTAACTTGTGCTAAGATCCCCATAATAGGTCGCCTTTAAACTACGTAAATTTCATAAACTTTGCAATCTTCATAAGCAGTGTGCAAGTGACCACAAGTATTTTATGAAGACAAATAAAAAATTAATTGCTTGCATGGAGGAGGAAGAATTTTTACACCTTCAGCTGGTGTGTTGTTTTCATCATCTCCAGTCCAGGACGGTACGTAACTTTTTTTATACTTCCGTAAGCTTAAGCTGGGGGTGGGAAATCATTATTTTAGTTTAAAATTGTCTCTGAACTATAAGTAAGTAAGTAAACTTTATTTCTATAGCACCTTCTACAGACACAAACATCACAAAGTGCTTAACAGAGAGCAAAATAACTAAAAAATAAAACAGATCTCATATATCTCACCATTTTATGTAGGAG